GAACCGCTGCAGCGGAGGCAGGCCCAACCTCGAGGGTCCGGCATAATGGACTTTGGTCCCTTTTGGGCCTCGATGGGTTTGGGAGTTTGGGCTTCGGATCTTTGAGGCGGCTTTGGAGGGCTTGCTTTGGGTCGAGTTCTGGGTTGTCGAGTGCAGAAATGCTTGACCACCCGTGAATCCGATTTCCTCATGGCCCCCTCAAGTTGCGGAGCAAATCCAAAGCTCATATCTGAAGAAAGCCCAAGGAGGTTGCAACGGAAAGTCCACAATCTCCACGCCTGAGGGCTAAAATCCTTAAACCACGAACAACCCTAAACCCTACTTCACCTTCTTTTCCTGAACCCTGCTAAACACCAGAACCCTACTAACGAAACCTTACGTGCCCCACAAAACCTAAAACCCTACTACCCCCTAAAAGCCCTTCAAGTCCTACTACACCCTATCCCCCACTAAAACCCTACTAAACCCTACTGAACCCTACTAAACCGCTTGCTGGAGTTCCAGGGCGAGGACGAGGCCAGCATCCCACTTCGGACACCTGGAGGCTCGGAGCTCTCGGTCTGAGACCACGGGTCTTAGGGTCTTAGGGTTTAGGGGTTTAGGGGTTTAGGTTTAGGGGTTTAGGGTTTGGGGTTTGGGGGTTTAGGGTTTAACCGTTTTAGGGCTTAGTAGGTTCATCTTGGGTTCAACTTTGGTTCATAATTGAAAAACTTGCAGCAGCTGTCGTTTCGAGGGCGGGAGTGAAAGCATGAAGAAGAAGGCTTCGTGGGGCTTCAGGGTTTTAGGATGCCGGGTTAGTAGGCTGTAGGGATTTAGGATTTAGTGGGGTGTTAGGGCTCAGTAATGTGGAGATGCAGTGGACGTCACGCTGACAGGATGAAGAAGAAAGCTCAAGTCCAGTTGTGTTCTCTTGGGTCAGAGTCCAGTTGAACATGAGAGTTTCGCATTTGGAGGTTGCCAAAGATCTGCATGGGAAGCACGCTACCAAAGCATGCTATGTCACAGCATGTTTTTGCCAAACCTTGCGATGGGAGTGGGAGTGAGCTAGCTCTTGCTCGACTCCGGAGTTTTTGTGCATTGCATGTTCCAAAGTGGTTGCAGAGATGGTAGAGAATCCAGACATGAGTGGTGTGGGCTGTAACGGCAACTGGGGAGACAACTAGGTAATGGGGTTCTAAGGTTCAGGGTCTAGTAAAGCTTGGCTCAAAGGTCGGTTCAGCTCGAACATCTACCCACCCTTCGGATTCCGTAACGTTTGGATATAAGCGCGGCGCAGTTGTCGACACCCATTGCACAGATGAACGTTGCTCTTCGAACCTAACTTGAGATCAGCGGGAAACATCATCCTGTGGGCGGTTTTCTTAACTTGGGCCCTGGCCTGGGCTGACCTGGAGCCTGGCGCCGACTTTTTGCCTTTTGCTAACGAAGTTTGGCCGAAATTGGCTTCTGCCGACGAACGTTGGACCGAAATCGGCTCATGCCGAAGGCTTGGCCTAGTCTTACAGGCCGAGCGACGAAGCAGAGTTCTGCCTATGCCGATGAAGGTTTGGCCTTTTGCCAATCATGAATCCACAACCTTCTCGAGGCCCAAAGGCCGCACACCTCAAGACCAATTTGGTGACGACGCCCTGCCTGGGCCGAGCACAGAATCGCCCCATTGTCCCAGCTCCGCCAGCAAGTCAGAGTCGCCTGCAAGAGTCGCATGTTCCGTTTTTTGGCGGCGTTCTACATGAAATTAGGGATTTGGGGGAGAGAGTCTAGGCTTGAGGGTTTTTTTTGCGGATAAGAAGTTACAGGGCTGAGGGTGTGTGTGTGTGTGTGTGTGTGGTTGTCCTATCTCTCCCTCCCTCGTGTGGGCCCAGGTTGTCTGAGGCTCCGGTTTCATAGCTGATCCTTGCAAATCCTTAGTCTGCGGATTCATCCCAGTCACAAAGTTGCCTTAGACGACCCTCGGCCCGTAGACCCAAAACTCGGATGCCATACCCTAACCTGCCGTAAACCCTCAAACCCTCTGAGCCCCAAGATCTAAGGCCTTAACCACCTAGAAGCCTCAACGCCTTACAACCCAAACCTTCAAATCAGAAAACCCATACCGGACAATGTTTTACCCGGAAACCCTACCAGGAAGCTTGAATCTCTGAAGGTTTATCGAGGTTTTAGCGTACTTAGGAGGTTAGGTTTGGGCGGCTGTAGGATTTCATCCAAAACTCAGACGTTAGGCGTTTCAAAGCGTTTAGGGGCTTGGGGCCTCGGGTGTGCAGGTTCGGAGTTGAGGGAGTGTGGTGCCCAATTTTTGGAAATCTCGGGGTCGTAGACTGCTAGAATCCTGTAAGTATATATATATATATGTCGGACTATCTTTGTATATATGTACACGAATAAATAAATACATACATAAAAAAAGTTACATATACAACCAATGTGTATACAAATGTAAGTATGCATAGATCTATGTATGTATATATATATATATGTGCGTGTGTGTGTATATGTATATGGACCCTTAAAGCACGCGCCTGGCTCTCCGAGCAGCTGACGCTGCACCAGCACGAAACTGGCACGGAGAGCAGCGACCTTCCACTCCACCGCAACGATGGTCAATTATACAATAGCCATATGAAAGGACGTTGGGACCCAGGTCGCCACTTTTGGGCCAATTATGGCACAAATCACCCCCAACTTAACCTCAACCGACACTTTTAGGTAAAATCTTGATCACACTCTAGAAGCCAACACTTACACCCCACCTGGTGCCATGGATCAGAAACGGTGAGGGCTACAAGGAATTCGGGTTCGGGTTTGCAGATAAGGATTCAACCAAGGCGTTACATTCTTGGATTATCCAGTGATGTTGTAGCTATAAATCAATACACAACTGTTATAGATCATATTTCCATCTACATTAGGTTTATGTTATTCTGCTGTACGTGCGACAAAGCTTGCCTTCTTGATGTTTGCATAGATTGACCACATGCGATACCACCTTTTTGTAGACCGTTTTCCTTCGGATCGTTCTACTTCCAGGGGGCGACGGGGTCGTTCAAGTGGCCGTCACCAACGAAGCTCCGCTTGATTCGACAGGAAAACATACCTGCCAGAGTAATCGCTCGGCCTGGGTGGCTGCGTACACCAGCTGGTGCATCTAGTTTCTTTCTTGCAGAAAGTCAGGTTCTCAACGTTCAGGCGACCTGACTCGAAAAGACAAATATTTAGTGGACTGCACAGTTGTCGCAATCTGATGAGATGCTTACTCCTTTGTAGTGCATACCAGGTGGGAGAGCGTGCACAAGAACTAACGACCTTCGTCGTTCTCTACATCAAGTTTGGGTCTCCCCGCCTCGACCAGTTGTTTTTTTTGCATGGTTGCGTGGTTATCTATTTTATATGCGGTGGTTTGTCACCACTGAATCCATATAGGTGTCCTGTCTCCGCATGTGTTTGGCGCCCAGTACCTAGTATCCAAGCATTCAGAACAAGTCAACATGAATTTGCCGTAGCAATCAGAAGGTCTACCATTGCAGTACATTTAAGCAAGAATTGTGTTAGTTGACTTGTCTACAACGACTAGTACCTGGTTCACTGTATGGTCCGAAATCAACGGATATCTTGTCTAGTCTTACTGGGCTTATTGTTATTATGTACTTGCCCAGACTGTGACAGTATGAATATATAGAACCTGGAGCTTTCATTTCTATGGTGTGCTTGCGAGAGATGAGAACATTGTTTGTGCTCTGCATAGCTTTGGCGACAAGGTCTCTGGTTCAACTGTGAGCTTGCCGAAGTGGCCTATCAAAAAAGCTAGATCTTGCTTAATGCATACTGTTGATTCTCTCGAAGCTTTTCTCAATTCTTCTACTTTCTAATTTCTCACTTCTGTCTTCTGCTCTCTTCTGGTGTAACTTTCCTCCACTTTGACCGAATTCTGTGTCACGAAATGACAGGCCTCCTGATGGAACAACGATCTCGGTCGTATTAAACGGCGGCGATCCCGCAGCCGATGCAGAATAGTGTTATTCAAGGCAAGCAACCTGTTCTATCTTTATTTACTTGAATGCCACCATCGTTCGTTTCATTATCTTCGCGCTCAAACATGCTGACTTGACAGACTCTTTCAGCAAGCCAACAGACCTAAAGTCCAAATCTGACTGCGGCAAAGCCCAATAAATATGAACTCCAACACCCGATAGTCCGAGCACCGAAAACCCATGTAACAACGGTCAAGACTTTAGACCACAACACCAATATTTGGTTCCCAAGAACTCAAAAAAGCCTAAAATATCCCTAGCCTTAACCCTGAAGCCCATGTGATGAGTACGCATGCAAGCATGATCCAGGCACTCATACCACTCAGATAGCTCCATCAAGTAGATGCTCTCCAAGTTATGCGCCACATTTTGTGCACTGAGTTGTCTAGGAATATGGCGACCTCTCAACCGACCCCTACATCCCGCCTTTCATAATCTCCAAGCGCTCAGGTCGTGTTTAGTTTGAGATAAACTCCGATTCTAACAAAACCCTCCGAAGACTCCACAATTTGAAAACCTAAACCCTAAATCCTAAACTGCAGTATACCCGGGTGTGCCTCGAAGCCAAGGGCTTGCCCTGGAAGCGACTCCAAAGCGGCCAGGAGTGCCCCTCAGCATCTATCAGAGCTGGGGTTCAGGGCTTCAGGGCTTCAGGGCTTCAGGTATATCATAGCTTGATGCAAAAGCCAATTTTTGGCACGAAGTATTGGAGGCCGTTTCGGCCTGGCAGCAGGCACAGATAACAACTAGACCCGGCGCTGCCACGAAGGCTTTCGAAGCAAGAAGTTCCGTGATCGCATCAGCGATCTAGAAGAGCGAAGTCTAAAAAGGTGTCTGGCTCATGATCAAAATCACAAGTCGACGAACCGCATTGGCCCCGTGCTCTCGAGACCGAATGTAAATCAAAACAATCTGCCCGATATCTGAGACGGGCAGGCATGGCTCGCAGGCCTTTCTTGCCTGGCAGGGACTAGCCTAGCCCTTCATCTGGACCAATCCGAACATCACCGGCTTACCGTTGGCCATGAAAGCAACTCTGGAAGTTGGTTCGCACACACTCCTTGACTGCTCCGGAACTGCCCGCTCAAAAAACGACAAAATCTACTTCTGCTTGAGGATGCCTAAGACTAGACTTAACTTGCTTTCCAGAACGGCCTGGATTCCTGGTATCACACACCAGCGCTGTGTCCAACTCAATGCTGCAGCAAGCCGCACCTCGGCCCTGAATGCTCTCGGGATTCTCGGTCCTTCCTTCCCCCGGCGCGATCTTCCACTTAATCGCAGAGACCTTGCCTTGGGCACGGCCACATCGCATCAGACAGGTCAGGGAGGTACCCACGCGGATTTCCTCGGACAGCGCCAAGACATAGAGTTGGGCATCGAACTTCTTGGTGGCCGTCAGCTCTGTGTCAGTTTGTAAGACCATGACATCACCTGCACGGGGTGCGTTGGTATGCTCGAGGCCCTTCACATTCAAAGCGACGATGTCTCCGGGCACCGCTTCCTCCACGCGCTCGTGGCACATCTCGATGCCTTACATAAGGAAACGGGACCGTTGTCCGCAGGATTATGAGTCTATGCGAAGTCAAGGGGGCAGTCACCGTAGATCGTGCCTCAAAGCTTACAGTATAAGGCTCTCAACCTTGTTCAGGCTATAATAAGCATCAGTACGAGCAGTCATGGTAAAGATCAAGATGAATGTAGCTGGCTGGAGAATTTGTCATGGTGCATCCCTGTTGCTGAAGACGTTTCCATCGCATGGATTCACGCCCGGCACGTGTGTGGGCGGGAGCATTACGGCCATCTTGGGCTTCACTGTGCCCTGCTCAACACGGCCTTCGATGACATCGCCAACGCCTTTGATCTTGTAAACGCCATTCACCAGCATGCGCAAGGGGGCATCGGGCTCCGAGCGAGGCGGCTTGACGGCCTTGTCAAAGTAGTCGAGCATGCATTGCACCTGAGCCTTGTCTGGACCCACCTCCTGGCCGGCCCACCAAGTCATGTTGCCTGAAGGCTTCAACAAGTTGTCGCCTTTGAGGGCTGAGATTGGCACAAAGACCAGCTTGTCCTCGAGAAACTTTGGCGGCCAGCCAGCACCCTTCATCATGACTTTGATCTTGGCAACAGCCTCATCAAAGCTCTCCTTCTTGTAGTCCACCTTATCCATCTTGTTCACAAGGACTGCCACCTGCTTCACCTGAAGATTCCAGAGCAGGCGAGCGTGCTCAGTTGCCTGCTCCATGGCCGAGTCGAGGCTGTCCACTGGCATCACAAGGAGCGCTGCATCCGAATCTCCGGCGCCCGCGACGTAGTTCTTGATGAAGGACTGGTTCTCAAGCGGATCGCAAACGATGTAGTGATAAATCTGTGTGTAGAAGATCTTTTCGTTCATCTCCCAATCCGTGGCTCCTCGGTGTTCCTTGAACCTTTTTGCCATGGCTTCGACCGCCGAGGAAGTCCCATACTGCTCCTTGGCTTTCTCCATCTCTCGGTCTGGGATGCCGCCCAAGGAGTAATTCAGGTTCGCCAAGAAGGTGTTCTGGCCACTGCCATCCTTAGATTTCGAAAAATACAACCGCCCAACACGGAACATCATCATGTGAGCCGAATGCAATTGGAAGCATCGTCTTGCCCTTTAAACTCTTTACCCGCATAATCCAAGCATCTGCTCCGCAGAGCGTCAGGTCAATGACGGGTTTGTCCATGCCGGGACCAGCCATGAGTGCGGCTGAGTGCGTGGATGGT